AGCCGTGGCCGGGCCAATCAAGTCCGCCGAGCGCTCACGCTTCGATATCGGCTTTGAAAGCAAGCGAGAAGCGGGCAAGAGCCGGTTCTGGCAGAAGACCTGATCATGCCGATCCGACCACGCGGCCTTTCCCCTCCTCCACGCCGCCACGCAGCACCGCGCCGCCTTTCTTCCTGCTTCGCTGTGGCCGAGAAGGCAAAAACCTCACCAGCACGCGTGAACGCGCAGATCAAGAGAAACCTACAGCTCCAAAATACGCCCAGCAGCGATAGATGTAGACAAGGCCCCGTTTTTCGGACCAGCCGGATTACTGCTAGCAGCTGGACGAATACCGGGCGCGCCGCAGAGGACGGGTTGCCGGCGAAACAGGCCAGAAGTGGGCCGAACTTTACGCATCGGCATCGGAAGGCCTGACGCGGACAGGTCATGGAGACGAAAAGATGCGAGGCGCCGCTTGCAGCCGATTCGAGGCGAGACAGGGAGTCAGGGATCTGGCGCGGAGCAGGCGTAAGTTAATCGAGCGAGATTGAGCTTGTTCAAGAACTTGGGCAGTTGGACGGCAAAATTGGCGGGGATCATGTCGCGGAGAGTAAGAGTATGGAAGGAGTGTCGAGGCACGAAGGTAAAGGACAGACCAGCGAGGCAGAGGCTGGGGAGGGATCGTGGCCGGAGAGGCGAGTTTGGAGGAGAGGTGAGGTGTGGATAGGAGGAAGCAGATGGCCGAGGGGCGGCAGGGGATGCTGCGACCGGAGAGGGAGGAGGAGGGGAGGGTCAGGCGAAGAGCGGCGAGGGCGTTCTCTATGAGATTCGCAGGCAGGCGCCCGCCGGATGAGGAGGGCAGATGAAGCCCACGGTGGGCGTTGGAGAAGCTCAGCAGAGGAGAGGTGAGCCGTCGGGGTCGAGATGCGAGGACTTGAAGCCCTTGAGGCAGGGCCAGCGGTCATCGCCTCGCGGCGGCGGCGGCCGGCCGGAGAGGCACGGAGGAGGGTAGGATGACCGAGGATGCATTGGGCGGGTCAAAGTTGGGGTTTGACTTTTTGAAGTGGGGAGGAAGCTAGTTTGGGGCAGGTTATTTATTGGAGACCTTATTATTAACGCGAAGAGGGAGACGACGACTCTACAGGATTGGGCAACTTTGAATCTAGCACCGATGAAAGAGAGAGGTTTTTTTTTTTTTTTGTGAGATTATTTTTTTCTTTTTTGGGTAGGTTTTGAATTACTGAAGCCGCCGTCGTAAATTTTAGTTAGCGTAATGAACTGTTGCTAACTTTCATTAATGTAATTAACTTCACCCCATGATTGATTTAGGCCTTTGACCGCTTAATTGTAGCCTTCCTATCCTCTTTTTAAAGAAACACTAACGGCCTAAGTTTATGATTATGAGCCGCTAGCTCATTTACGGAAATGAGCTACCGATAAATGAAATGATGGATCAACTGTACATGTATCTTTTAATAACTCATTCCTAAATGAGCTACCGATAAATGAAATGATGGATCAACTATACATGTATCTTTTAATAACTCATTTTGTAAAAGAAACCACCACCTTAAACTTATTTTTTTTCTTTAGGATTAATAGCAGAAAAATAGGTAAAATTATCAGATTGGTATATTTTGTTAATCCTTAGTGACACGTTGAGATATTTTTTTTTACTTCGGCTATAAATTTGTATATTTATGTGGACTACGACAACAAATTAGCTTATATTTTGACCGGAGCTAAAATTCTGACCAAATTGAGTCACATGACTCCTCACATGTAGCTGGTGTAGATTAAGTGCGCTTAAGTGACAGGGTAGCTAAAAGAAGAACAAAAATCCCCAATTTGAACTCTCATCTCTATTGACTAAAAAAACTATTATATATGCACAACTTTATACTCTTATCATAACCGATCCAATAGTTAAAGTTCAAATTTACAAAAATTCCGCTCTCTTTATTAAAATTCCCAAACGTGATGAAATACAATTTACCTTTGTTCCTCTTACTAAGCTCCCAAACAAAATTCTATTTCTTCTTTCGTTCTTCCCTCCTTTTGTCGGCATCCCCTTGTTGGGATTTTGTCTTTAATTCTTTATGTAACTTCATGAGAATTAGATAGGGTTAGAGTTCTATCATGATTAGGAGTTTGAGTTCTATCATGATTAGGAGTTTGGGTTTTATCATGATTAGGAGTTTGAATCTTATTCTAATTAGGAAGTTAGGCTAGAGATAGAGTTTTGGTTTCCCTATATATATTCTTCTATTGGTGGAGGAAAAACCATGAAGAAAAAAGTAGAGATGTAGTAGATGAGAGAGAGAGGGGGAGTTTCGTAGTCTTTATCCGTACAAAAGATTACAAGGAGTGGGCTTTGGAGAGAATATGAGAGTTGATTATGTATGTGAGGTTGAGAGATTGAGAGAGAGTTGAGTGGTTCCTCTTGTAGTTCTCCCTGATACATAGTGAATTTCTCGTATTGAGGTGGCAAAGATCTCTTGGCCCGCACAAGAGAGGTGGAGGTGCCACTACGAAGCAGAAGATAGTGAGGATCATGAAGGCATCCAATTGGGAGTGCAGGTGTTCTGATTTGAAGTGCGAAAGAAATAGAAGACTCTAGCGAGAGAGGCAAAGTTTCAAGACGATGATGGTATATCTTCAATGGAGTTTGGGAATCAAAACCAAGGTGAAGATTGTTGGGATTTTATCTTTGATTCTTTGTGTAACTTCATGAGAATTAGATAGGGTTAGAGTTCTATCATGATTAGGAGTTTGGGTTCTATCATGATTAGGAGTTTGGGTTTTATCATGATTAGGAGTTTAAATCTTATTCTAATTAGGAAGTTAAGCTAGAGATAGGGTTTTGGTTTTCCTATATATTCTTCTATTGATGGAGGAAAAACCATAAAGAAAAAAGTAGAGATGTAGTAGATGAGAGAGAGAGAGAGAGAGGGGGTTTCGTAGTCTTTATCTGTACAAAAGATTACAAGGAGTGGGCTTTGGAGAAAATATGAGAATTGATTATGTATGTGAGGTTGAGAGATTGAGAGAGAGTTGAGTGGTTCCTTTTGTAGTTCTCCCTGATACATAATAAATTTCTCGTATTGTTGCCCCGTGGTCGTAGGTCGAAGTTGATCGACCGAACCACGTAAATCTCGGTGTTCTTATTCTTGATTGTGGTTGTTCTATCTTATTGATTTGGGTTGGCTTCCGAGTTGCGCATATCGTGGTACGCGGGGAGACTAAAATTCCCCAACACCCCTTACCTTCTGTTCTATAAGTAACTTAAAAGCAGAGTGTAAAACTTGTGTCAACTTAAGTGGATAGCAAAAAGTTGTCCACCAAACTTTTTAGCTATTGATGTTGTCTAGGGATCCATGAAAAGATATGAAGAGTTTTTTATATATATAAATGAGTGGTTAAAAAGTTTGGTGGACATCCACTTAAGTTGACATAAGATCAACTATATATATATATATATATATATATATATATAACGAGAGAGAGAGAGAAGAGGAGGAAACGTGAGGTGAGCTGGCAGCGGTAGGAAATTTCCACGCAGCCAAAAGCTCATCTCCGTTTTCTCCATATATACTACTACTACGGTATATATATACCTACGTACTATATTATATATTAACCTAACCTCAGTATATATATACCTTACCTAGTATACTTATAATACTTAGTAATAAGTAAATAATACCTATATAGTACCTAGTAATAATATTATAGGCTATATATATACTGATATACGTAATACTACCATATATATAGTATAATATTACGCGTATAGCTAATATATATATATTATAATATATACTATATTTAATATAGCTTATCAGATAGCTACTGTACTAACCCAAACTCAAGTGTTGTATATAATTAAACTGGCTTCAAAAGCATGATTTATTTTCCTTCATCTTTATCTTCTAGTCATCTTCTTTCAAG